ATGTTACCGTATCGCAGGACGTGCTCGCCCGCATGTTCTCAATGTATGTAGTAACTTTGCAGTGATTCATAATTCACTCACCTCCCAATGACAGCCTCCATTAGTGATTCTGTGGCAGAGTTATTCCCCAACGCCCCATGATTGTCTCCATGTTGTGATTCTGAGGCAGAGTTATTCCCCAACGCCCCATGATTGTCTCCATGTTGTGATTCTGTGTGGCAGAGTTATTCCCCAACGCCCCATGATTGTCTCCATGTTGTGATTCTGTGTGGCAGAGTTATTCCCCAACGCCCCATGATTGTCTCCATGTTGTGATTCTGAGGCAGAGTTATTCCCCAACGCCCCATGATTGTCTCCATGTTGTGATTCTGTGTGGCAGAGTTATTCCCCAACGCCCCATGATTGTCTCCATGTTGTGATTCTGAGGCAGAGTTATTGTCTCCTGGTGGGACTCTCCACATGGGGTAACACGATGCCGTCATACAGATGTCCTATTGTCGACATATCTATATAATCATCCATGCCATATGTTATGAACAAACAAAGTAATAAGACTGTTGATTAAATAAAGAAAGAAATAGCCTGCCAAGAAAACCAAAAATTGAATAAAAAATATCTGTTTTTTTATCCGTATCTGAAAACATATCTCATCTTGACAAAAATCCCATTTTATCTATATGTGTATACAACAGAAACTGAAACGTCTTCGTCTTTCTTGTTTGTAAAAAATGACAAAAACAAAAAAAGCTTTTTCCCATTCCACGTCATATTCACTATTTACTCACCAACTTCTCACAGTTACGATGTTATGTGTTTCACCTTCTAGAGTTGCAGTTGAAGATATGGACCATTTCCCTAAGTGCAGCATTTGCAAGCAACAGTTTTGCTACCAAGGACCACCTCCCTGGTTGCTGCCATGTCTACATGCTGTATGCAAGGTCTGTCTTTCTGATGCTGAGACAGGGGCGTTGAAATGCTCGTCTTGTCACAGAGAATTTGATAAAGAAAAACACAAGTTCTCAGAAGACAAGGTCAGGGTAAGAGAGATCTTCAATCTGACTGTCCTTCATCGTCCATCCGAGTTGCAATGCACTAACAAACAAGATGGCGGACAGGCTGTCGTGTGGTGTAAACAGTGCGAGGCTCTCTTTTGTGAAAACTGTCAAGTGGCTCACAGTGATATCAAAATGACAAAATGTCACAAAGTTCAGACAATCGACCAACTGGCACAAGATGGAGTCTCCATTGAAGCCAAGGATGCTATTTGCTCCACACACCAAAAGCCTGTTGACGTCTATGATGCGACATGTGGAGTTCTGATATGTTTAAGGTGTACACGTGACGATCATGCTGGTCATGATGTTCAAGAAGTCGACGAAGCATTTCAATCCAAGCAACTTGAAATGAAAACGAAACACAATCAACTGTTGATCCATCAAGAATCCTTAAATGAATCGATTCTACAGATGAACAGCATTGAAGATAAGGTTGATAAGAAATGCCGTTCCCTGCAAACGTTGAAGGTTCACACAATGTCTGAACTGAAGTCTTTAGTCGACCAGAGAGAGAAGGAACTTGACCTTGACCTGAGCACCTGCTTTGAGCACATCAGAGATGGAGCCAGGGAGAAGCAGCAGGAACTGGAGACGTCCCAGATGTCCCTGAACACCTCCCTGACCTACATAGAGAAGGCCTTGACCTTGACACCAGTAGAGTACCTGGAGCTCCAGGACACCATGATGCAGAGCGTGGACTCCTGTCTCTCTGAGCACGTGTCTGCCGTGAAGCAGCAGGAAGCAGCAGCAGGTGTTGCGTTCTCCAGACAGGGTCTCCAGAGTCTCAAGGCTGACATTGCCTCCTTTGGATGCTTCCTTACATCACCGGACCAGGAATCTCAGGCCAATCAGCAACAGGATAATCAAGGTAAGTCTTGAGCCTGACCACCCGATCCCATTAGTTGCCTCTTAGACAAGCATAGTCACCTTTTGCGGCAAGCATGGAATGCTGAAGACCTATTCTAACCCGGATCTTTATTAAACGATATCAGATCATCGCTATACCTGAAGCTCAATAAAGTTAAGCTTGCCTTGTTTTGCTAATCCCAGCAGAAATTTCACATATTGTTTTGTAAATAATCTTCAGATGACATTTGCTTTCATTTGTGACAAATTGTCCTGAACTTCTGAAAATAGATATGTAACTATATCTATGGTCACTGCGTTTAGTTAGAAATGAACCAAAGAATGAAGTTTTGTCTTACGTTTGTCATGTGGGATAGTAGTGTACAAAGTTGAAAACTCAAATGTTTCAACATAATTGAATTTTGCATGTGCATATATTTTGTATGTAGGGACATTCCTGCAGAACAAGTTGGAATATCTGCAGAGAAAGGACCATGAGCATGAGATGGTGAGTGTAACAGAACCAAAATACCTTCCCCAGCTAAAAAAAAAGAAATCATAAGCCACTTGCCATCAAGGTGGAAGAGATTATGTTTCATGATTTGTGTTGTTACAAGCAGTTTCATTTATGAAGTTTTATGAGAGAAACATGCTTTTTCACGAGACATGAAATATCCAATTTATTATATACTTTCTGTGTAGTTGTCTACCTGAAAATTAAATTATTTCATTCAAAACGTAAAATCTTGAAACATAAATTCTCCCTACCAAAAACACAGGGACGCGTACGGTTCATCTCCCCTTGCGTTTGCGACTTTCGTGTTTGCAAAATTTAAAACAACATAAACAAAGAACAAAAATATATTTAGGGTCACAGACATTCTTTATCATACATTTAGATATGATTACATACAAAATCAACTTTAACAAAAAATATTCTTGAAAACTACGGGACCCCTGTTGTCAAGTAACAAAATGGCGCTTTGCGAAACGAACTGTCTTGATTGACGAGTTAAATGAGAAAATTACAATTAATAACGAAACAAACGGAAAGAAGTGATATTAACTTTATAAATGACCATCTGTCATTATTTTGCCTTGTCAATGTGGAACTAATATAAAAAGGACGTCAACAGTTTGTGTATTGGATAGACACTAACGATAATGGGATACAATTTAAGGAGGAGCAACCCCTGCATGACTTGTTCCTTCAAAGTGTTATGTTCACTGTAGTGAAATATCAAGTGTTATGTTCACTGTAGTGAAATATCAAGTATTATGTTCACTGTAATCAAATATCAAGTGTTATGTTCACTGCTGTGAAATATCAAGTGTTATGCTCACTGTAATAAAAAATCAAGTGTTATGTTCACTGCAGTGAAATATCAAGTGTTATGTTCACTGTAATGAAATATCAAGTGTAATGTTCACTGTAATCAAATATCAAGTGTTATGTTCACTGCAGTTAAATATCAAGTGTAATGTTCACAGTAGTGACATATGAGGCGTTAATTTCACTGCAGTGAAATATCAAGTATTATGATCACTGTAGTGAAATATCAAGTGTTATGTTCACTGCAGTGAAATATCAAGTGTTAAGTTCACTGCAGTGAAATATCAAGTGTAATGTTCACTGCAGTGAAATATCAAGTGTTATGTTCACTGCAGTTAAATATCAGGCATAATGTTCACTGCAGTGAAATATCAAGTGTTATGTTCACTGCAGTGCAATATCAAGTGTTATGTTCACTGTAAATAGTGAAGTATCAAGTGTAATGTTCACTGAAATGAAATATCAAGTGTTATGTTCACTGTAATGAAATATCAGAAGTTATTTTCACTGCAGTGATATATCAAGAGTTATGTCCACTGCAGTGAAATATCAAGTGTTATGTTCACTGTCATAAAATATCAAGTGTTATGTTCACTGTTATCAAATATCAAGTGTTATGTTCACTGTAATGAAATATCAAGTGTTATGTTCACTGTAATGAAATATCAGACGTTATTTTCACTGCAGTGATATATCAAGAGTTATGTCCACTGCAGTGAAATATAAAGTGTTATGTTCACTGCAGTGAAATATCAAGTATTATGTTCACTGCAGTGAAATATCAAGTGTTATGTTCACTGTCATGAAATATCAAGTGTTAAGTTCACTGCAGTGAAATATCAAGTGTAATGTTCACTGTAGTGAAATATCAAGTGTTATGTTCACTGCAGTTAAATATCAAGCGTTATGTTCACTGTAAATAGTGAAATATGAAGTGTAATGTTCACTGTAGTGAAATATCAGGCGTTATTTTCACTGCAGTGATATATCAAGTGTTATGTCCACTGCAGTGAAATATCAAGTGTTATGTTCACTGTAATGAAATATCAAGTGTTATGTTCACTGTAATGAAATATCAGACGTTATTTTCACTGCAGTGATATATCAAGAGTTATGTACACTGCAGTAAAATATAAAGTGTTATGTTCACTGCAGTGAAATATCAAGTGTTATGTTCACTGCAGTGAAATATCAAGTGTTATGTTCACTGTCATGAAATATCAAGTGTTAAGTTCACTGCAGTGAAATATCAAGTGTAATGTTCACTGTAGTGAAATATCAAGTGTTATGTTCACTGCAGTGAAATATCAAGTGTTATGTTAACTGTAATGAAATATCAAGTGTTATGTTCACTGCTGTGAAATATCAAGCGTTATGTTCACTGTAATCAAATATCAAGTGTTATGTTCACTGCAGTGAAATATCAAGTGTTATGTTCACAGCAGAAAAATATCAAGTGTTATCACTTGTCTCAACTTCAGAAAACAGTCTTTCACACTGAAGTATATTATAATTTACTTTATTTCTCATTTTCACAGACAGAAAATGTTGAAAGAAAAGCTAACGATTGAGGAGGAAGAGAAATGTAAGGATAACAAATGCAATATACTTATTCCATGTTGTTAGTTTCACAAACACGTGTTACATCTCACAAACACCTCTCTCATTTTATGCGGATATATGTTATTATTTTATTTTAGATAGGGCATGAAACAGAAATATACGGAGTTTGCGATTGTCTTTGACGCACTTTGGTTATATTTCAGACCTAGCACAGAAACAGCTTCAGGCGAGATGTGATGTAAGTAACTGTAACACTGGTCCTTGGATGGGCGTGTTACGATAACAGTAACAGGGTCAGACACAATCCTACATCACTGTTAATTTACACTTTTAGACGAATGAAGGAACGAACGAACGTATGAACACAAACAAAACATACCCAATTCTAAAATTTAAAAAAACTCATTTTACGCTTGTTGTTTCCATAATGACTTAATCCCATCCTAATTGTTGTTGTGTGTTTAGACGATAACATCTCTGGAGAAGAAAGTGAAAACACAACAAAGAAGGATACACATATTTAAGAAGCAGGCAGAGAAATTAGGTTGGTATGGTTTGTTAAAGTCACTATTCTTAAAGAGGTATGTTTGTTATCGTCTTGGTTTGGACGAAGAGAGTAGGTGGTTGTTTAAACAGTGTATTGTCTAGATCTGTTCCTAACGACTGTTAAACTATTGTAATCATTACTATAGAATGTGTCCATGTGTTTATGTGTGTAAAATATATAAAAAATTAATAATAATTGAATATATTGTAATATGAATTGTATAGTTATGGTTTCATTCAGTATGGAGTAATATGTTACCCTGTCTCTACGTGCATGAATTTAGTCCCCCTTTATTTTGCGATTGTCTGGGACGCACTTTGGTTATATTTCAGACCTAGCACAGAAACAGCTTCAGGCGAACAGTGATGTAAGTATCTGTAAGACCAGTCCTTGGATAGGCGTGTTGACAGCTCAACAATAAGTAGGATACGATAACAGTAACAGCGTCAGAAACAATCCTCCCTGCCACTGTTAATTTACACTTTCAGGCGAATGAAGGAACGAACGAGCGAGCGAGCAAACGAACGAACAAACGAACACAAAACACGCCCAATTCTAAACTTTTAAAAACCTCAATTCGTACATGGACATTTTACGGTTGTTGTTTCCATCATCACATTCTAATTGTTGTTGTGTGTTTAGACCATAACATCTCTGGAGAAGGAAGTGAAAACACAACGAACAGCAATAGACACATTTATGAAGCTGGCAGAGAAAATAGGTTGGTATGGTTTGTTAAAGTCACTATTCTTAAAGAGGAATGTTTGTTATCGTCTAGGTTTGGACGAAGAGGGCAGGTGGTTGTATAAGAGTGTATTGTCTAGATCTGTTCCTAACGACTGTTAAACTATAGTAAACATTACGATAGAATGTGTCCATGTGTTTATGTGTATAGTCTGTACGGGGGTTGGTGTGTGTGTGTGTGTGTGTGTGTGTGTGTGTGTGTGTGTGTGTGTGTGTGTGTGTGTGTGTGTGTGTGTGTGTGTGTGTGTGTGTGTGCACAGAAATGGGCTTCACTCATTGTACCCATGTATGGAATCGGACCCAAGTCTTCCACTAGGCTACCCGATCGCCCCGTTTATTTGTGTAAAATATATTTCTAATTAATAATAATGGAATATATTATAGTACGATTTGTATAGTTATGGTTTCAATCAATATGGATTAAATGACGAGCGATATATCACTTATGTTTGTTATTTAACAGTAGATAATATGTTACAGGTGTGAGACTGACCAGTGACTTGACCTTAGTCAGTAGTCAGTATACAACCGGCGTGCCTGTCAAACTCAACTGTAAGTATACAACGAATATCACAGCATATATAAGACGTCAATGCCAGATAATAACCAGTCTCGATTTTCTGCCAAAACAGATTCCATTGGGGCTGAAAGGCAAAATAGCAATGACAATTATATGAATGGTTTACTGACAATCAGTGAAAACACCAGGTGTTCGCGAAAAGGGTAAAGAAAAAAAAATATCGATATTTGTTTGAAGTCTGACGCTTAGGGCGGGGACGAGGCCAGATTTACTACCCGGGTACCCAACCCCCTCTTACCCGACCCTACCCGGGTACCCACTGTAGGTCTCAAGAGTTGGGAACAAAATGTCTGATTGGTAATTGTTTTACCACGGCCCTGGCTGAAAGTATTTAGATACATGTATCAAACAATCAGATCATGCGTTCACTGAAGTTTACTGAAGCATTATCTTTACTCAAACATATACAAGTTAAAAGGAATGTGTGCATCGTCAGAAAGAAATGCGAACATTAGTTACTTGTAGTGTAACCACTGAGCTATAGTGAGCTTTTGTCATTTAACAATATATCACGTGACTAACCACGGCTCTGGGTAGTCCTGTGGGTACCCGGGTCCTACTCAGTATCCATCCGACCCGGGTACCCGAGTTACACATCCCAGCCCTATGACGCTGCACAGTAGAACAAGTTGAAAATTCAATTGTTTCACAAAATTGAAATTGGTTCTTTCTGAGATTCCAAAATATCAAGCAAATCCTTTGGGTTTTTGAGAATCCACATGGTATTAAGAGAGAATTTATGGATGTCAACTTCTTTATGCTGAGGAACACAATGTTTCGGGGTATATGCTTACTCCTTCGTGTGGAGGACGGAAAGGGGTTGTTCCCATTCAGTCACATTGTATTAATTCCACTTGTCTCAAATGCCCTCTGTGAATATAAGGAAGTGAATATAGAGCTTGATTGTAAAAAAGGATTATGGTCAATCGTTAGGACAGGGATTTGGTGGTAAATTTGCTGAACCCAGCATATAGCTCTCTTTGTATGGTGGATACTATTGGGGGAGCTTTGGATGAAATCCCAGACAAAAGAGGAATGGACATGTCTTCAGGTTTCAGAGTTATGTCGAAACTTGGAAGTACTGATGCGTGGTTTTGGTATATGTTTTCCTCAGTTAACACTGGCCCTCTATGTGACATTGTTTGATAAAAAGAAATAATGTTGAGATGCTGATATATATCGGCTATGTGTTATTTGATGCCTTGTCAGGGGGAACAGTGACAAACCTTTCACGAAAGGCTGCCTTTCATTGGATGACATCTGGCGGGGACAAAAGGGGTTTATTCCAACCCTGTTTCCTCTTTGTCAGTTTGTGCATAAACAAACCACTACTGTAATATTTGAACTTCATTTGGGCGAGACAATGAGTGTCAATCGGGAAAATGATTATTGCAACCTGTCAGTTTCAATCATAATTGTAATTAATATATGCCTAATAAAGAATTAATTCAAATCTCTTATCTGTAGCCAACATGTTTTGACATAAAAGACACTTAAAGTATTTATGTGTTTGTCCTTTGAAGAAAAGCTATGATATAAAACCAGAAGTGTTGTATGTCATATAATCCTGACTATTGCCAAAGATTTAGGAATATAAGCATGTACAGTAAAGTACGGTTATAACGAACTCAAAGGGAATACTAATTTTAGTTCGTTATAACCGTAGTTCGTTATAAGCAAATATACAGCATAACTACAGCAAATAGTCGGGACCAAAAACGTAAGTTCGTTATATCCATCAGTTCGTTATAAGCGTGTTCGTTATAACCGTAGTTTACTGTATTTGTTTCAACACAGTTATAACCATTAATTTTCAGCGAATGTGTTTACACATGAATATTTTTATGGCTGATTACGAAGAACTTTTTTCCTAAAATTATTTTATATTTCATTTCGTTCTCAACTGTTCTGCTATTGCCTACGAATCCGTCTTTTGTATGTATTGCACACGTCACAATGCAAGTTTTAGGGAGTTATATATCTCAAACGCCACAGTAGCAATCACAGCTATTTGCAGTTAAGTAAATTTGTCTTTTAATAGGTCCACCACTCAAGTTTGATGTCGAGCGGGCAAACTTCAATCTGGTTGAAGTCACTGAGAGACACATGGTCAACCGCCCTGCTCGCAACCCGCCATTCACCACCAGGAAGTTAAACAGGTACAGCGGAACTTGCGGCTCCATGACCCTTCCTTACACGCTGACCTCTGCACCTGTCACTACTTCCGGGTCCTTCCAAGGTCAAGGTCAACATGTTCCCTCATATTCCCACGTGTCTTCTGACCCCACAGATCCGTACTACTTTCAGGCTCATGCTAAGATAACACAAACAGCAGCAATAATACAAACATGTATATTTGAAATTGTATTGAGTGAGCCATCTAACGTTGATACAAGAAATGATTACGGTCGTGGAGTAAAAGTCGGTTTCTGTGACACTCACAAAACAATATGCACACATCGTGCATCGTGTTATGATCAGCCATTGGCCAACAGGCCAGGATTGTCGATGCTGACGTATGGCGTCGTGTATGATGCAGTGAGGGGAAAAGTGGCATTCATTGATGTCAACAAGGAGAAGATACTAACATCAATGTCCGTCAAGCGTGCCCAATATCTCCCCATGTTTGGCGTCCAGAAGAGTGAGGGGTTTACAGTTGAGATAACCTTGATGGAGGTGAAGGACACGGACATCAGTGCAAGGTTACGTGGTGTCATTCAACAAGCTCTCCAATGAACACACAAGGAACCTAACCTGCCTATGAAAACACATCGACTGACCAATCCGAGTATCCGAAGTGGTGTCATTCAACAAGCTCTCCAATGAACACGCAAGGAACCTACCCTGCCTATCAAAACACATCGACTGACCAATCCGAGTAGCCGACAACAAGCTGTCATGGGATAAAACAACAGTAGTATAGTTATATTACGACCTGTCGGCCTGGTGTGGGAGGAAAGACCCAAGTGATGCAGGTCTTAGACGTTTACCACTTTTGTGAATCCATGGACAGAAAGCATAATAAATATTGACTATGCAGTTAATATGTTAAGGATAACACTTATCGGATCTGGTTGAAAATGTAGAACGTCGCTCGCGATTTTACATTCATGACCCAAACTGTGGCGTGTTTTATCCAAAATATGAACCGTTTAAATCATGAAACAACAGCAAAAAAATAAGAAAACATCAAGATATCTTTTGTGAAACAACACAATTTGTCGCGGTATAATTTCGATCAAAGAGAGCGGGAGCAAAATCCACATGCAGCATGGACACAACTAAGTCATGACATGTAAAATTGAACATTTCATCACCTGCCTTGGCGGGAAAACAGTGAGATACAAAACTTAACACAATATGTGAAGTTGCAGGTCCGATTCTGTCTTCCGTAATGAAAGGGTTTCATTTCTTGTCTTCAATTTTAGAACATTGAAAGTCCAAATTTCATCTGCTACTCAGCTCATAAGGTCTTACTTCTAAAGGTAAACCCTCATACAAGGTCTTACTAGGAAAAAGTAAAAAACCCTGAGGTTATTACGAGATAGGAAGATGCCAACAATACAATAGCAAGTCAGCAAGCTTACACCTGTAAATAAAATAGAAGCTAATTGTCCTTCTATATACACCTTTAGCAATGTATTTATGCCATAAAGGTTGTCTTACCATTGTATAACTTGTACTCTGTATCAACCGGAGAAAATAAAGAATATCTGTATCCACTGGTATCTGTGACAATTTGATTCTTGACTAAAACCAATGTGTTCCTCACACCAGATGGCTGTCCTTGACCTTCAAGTCTTCTTGTCACACACTAGTTCCATGACACATGTTTCAATGTTCTTATTGATTGACATGATCGAGTCCTTCACAAACTGGTAGGTATAATTATTCCCGGATTAATTGGAATTACCAATACAGCAGAACATGGATATAACGAACCACAAGGGACCAGAGAAATCAGTTCGTTATATTCGGTGTTCATTGTATACGTTTTCGCTCGGAAACGTCCGCCATCACGAATCCAATCAGTGAATATTTCACCTGTCATCTAAGCTTTTGTGTTGGTACAGTAGTCATGCTTCTCAAACCGAGGTTTCTGAGATTTTCCAATGACAAGCAACTTAAGTTTATTTTAAGTTGTTCTGTCAAATTCCATTGCAATGTCCTTCTTGTTTTTTATGCCGACATGGGTACAATGTGTGAAGCCCATTTCTGGTGTCCCCCACCGTGATATTGTTGGAATATTGCTTAAAGCGTCGTAAAACCATACTCACTCACTCTTACTGACACTTTGACACAATCTTGTAAAATTTATATCTAATGTTTGTTTTACAGACAAGATTACATGTATTTCTCAATGACTGTGTCAGATATATGTAGGTACCGTATTCAGTGTCAGTGTTAAAATATTTCTGGATAATGATGGCGACTGGGTGGTGTATTGTTGCTTTAACCAGCATTCTAGGTACATCGTGACTTTGTGTGTCAGGTGATCAGGAGAACATTCCAAAATGGGCAGGGTATATATACTGTTTGTTTGTTGTTTAACGCTGCACTCACCAATATTCCAGCTTATATCACAGCGGTATGCAAATAATCAAGTCTGGACCAGACAATCCAGTGATTGACATCATGAACATTTATCTACGCAATTAGGATACGATGACATGCATCAACTAAGTAAGCGAGTCTGACCACCTGATCCCGTTAGTCGCCTCACGATAAGCATGGGTTGCTGAAGACCTATTCCAATCGGTGTATTCATAATGACAACACAAGGATCATACTTAAAGAAGTTCCGGGGTAGAATAGGTCTTCAGCAACCCATACTTGCTGTAAAAGGCGACTATGCTTGTCGTAAAATGCGACTTACGAGATCGGGTGGTAAGGCTTGCTGACTTGGTTAATACATGTCATCAATCCCAATTGCGTGGATCGATGCTCATGATGTCAATCACTGGATTGTCTGGTCCAGACTCGATTATTTTACAGAACGCCGTCATATATCTGGAATATTGCTGAGTGCGGCGTTAAACAACAAACCAACCAACCAACCTATATGTCAGACCTAGTGGTACCTGTGTTGTAATAGTATCACATTACTTTTTAAAGTGTCGTGACAGTGAAGTTAAGACTGCCGTCGATAATTACATTATATATGAGCTGAACACCCCCAGATACATGTTGATGGACCTGCATTTGTCAACTTGCTAAAACGCCTGTAATGACATCATTTCATCAGCATATTTTATGACTTCTGAACCTTGTGATTTTCCTCAAGTTGTAACCAAACAGGATTGTGAAGACGAGTGCCATCATTAGAGTATGGCAAACATGATTTATCAACAGAATGCATAATTACTGCACAAAGAAGAATTGCTTGCACAATACAGTTAGTGAGTGAGTAGGGTTTAATGTCGCTTTTAACATTATTCCAGTTATATCACGGCGTTGCACAATATAACATCTGTTTGGTAGATGTCTTGGTGTGTCATTGAACAAACTCGTAATTCCCAAATACATGCCTTTATGTGGTTACCTTCACACACATAGTGCCAAGCAAGTTGGAAATATACAAAATCACATAGATAGCTAAGAACGGCGTAGAACCATAATCACTCACTCATTGTGATCTTAAGCAATATTCCAACAATATCACGGAAGGGGACACCAGAAATGGGCTTCACACATTGTACCAATGTCAGGAATCGAGCCTGGGTCTTCAGTGTGACGAGGAAATGCTTTAATCACTAGGCTACCCAACCGGCCGCAGGTCCATGGAAAGGGCTGACCTTGAATCAAGCAGGTCCATGGAAAGGGTTGACCTTGAATCAAGCAGGTCCATGGAAAGGGTTGACCTTGAATCAAGCAGGCCCATGGAAAGGGTTGACCTTCAGTCAAGCAGGTCCATGGAAAGGGTTGACCTTGAATCAAGCAGGCCCATGGAAAGGGTTGACCTTGAGTCAAGCAGGTCCATGGAAAGGGTTGACCTTGAATCAAGCATGTCCATGGGAAGGGATGACCTTGAGTCAAGCATGTCATGGATAGGGATGCACTATAGTCAACCAGGTTAAGGGATAGTGATAGTCTCAAGTCAAACAGGTCAAGAGATGGTGATAGTCCCAAGTCAAACAGGTTAAGAGATAGTGATAGTCCCAAGTCAAACAGGTCAAGAGATGGTGATAGTTCCAAATCAAACAGGTCAAGAGATGGTGATAGTCCCAAGTCAAACAGGTTAAGAGATAGTGATAGTCCCAAGTCAAACAGGTCAAGAGATGGTGATAGTTCCAAATCAAACAGGTCAAGAGATAGTGATAGCCCCAAGTCAAACAGGTTAAGAGATAGTGATAATCCCAAGTCAAGGAATAGGGATGCCCTTGAACTCCAACTCCACAAAATCAGAACAAAACACGCATTTTCTAATAAGTCATTCATTACAAATGTACAGGTACTTCATGTTGAAATTAATTAAAAAACACCTGGAATTGTAAATCATCTGCAGATACATATACAATAAATAAAAGCAGTATGTTCATGTGATGACAAAGCCTATGTATGAAAGAGGTAAGCGTCTCAATCAGGAGGAATATACCAGGTATACCTTGTCCATCACATAGTTTCCAACATGTCAAATACCTTCAGGTATATTCACTTCCAAAACGATGAAGAGGCTTCTGCTGGAGATGAATGTTTTGTATTCCAAGTTTCTAAATAATGTTAATAATTTATGAATTTACACATTGAGATTACACAGTAAACATATATCACAGGATCTTTGTACAATACACTTCAGGATGATTTTTGGCATCGTATGGGATGATTAATGGCCCAGGATCTTGAAGAAATATTCCACCTGAAACGAACAAGCGTCAGAAAGACAAAAATAACCTACATATGATGAAATACATTGTTACATTTGTAATATTTTGTAAAATATTTTCATCATTTTAAGTCCATAACATTGACTCTTTACACAGCATTAATAAACATGAATTGGCAGAGAGAAACGTGGTATTCACAAGAAAATATCTTTAAAGTGACACCTTCCTACTACGGACAGTACTGTTCCCAATGAAATTGTCTGGATTAAAGATTCCTCATCTCAGAGTTCTTTCTATATTATATAGTGAAATTCCTGACAGACTTTTTCAGAAAGTTGGGTGTCCTGACTAAAAGGGTTTCACTGTACACACCAGTCTTGGGAATCTCACCCGAGGGTGGATATCAAATATGTCACATTTAGTTGATAAAAGTTTCAAACTTTTATTGACTGGTGTTGATAAATTTGATATCAAAAGACACAAGGGTAGGATATAATTTATCATCCAAAACTATTATACGTCATGTCTAAAGTGCAAAAATTACAGCCAACCGGTTTCAGTGGCCAAGACTAGTGATATCATTAGATTGTGATATCATGGTACCTGGACTGCAAAGCATCATAATGGAATTACATGGCAGTGATATCTCACTTGATCTCAGCAAAGAGATATCGCCTGGAAGCCAGTCTTGGATGATGAATATCATCAACCAACAACCTCTCAACTGGTAGGCAACAATAAGCACTGTTTATGATGTCACATTTGTTTAATGCCACAACAAAATATTGCAGGTATACCACGGCAGCCTGTAAATGATCAAGTCTGGACTAGCCAATTCAAGTTTAGCACGTGTGTGTGTGTGTGTGTGTGTGTGTGTGTGTGTGTGTGTGTGTGTGTGTGTGTGTGTGTGTGTGTGCGTGTGCGCGCGCGGACGCTCTACCACTAGACCACAGAGGCAGTTGTAAGTGTAAGAAAGTATTAAAGTGTGTAATGTTACGACGTGCTTTCGAAAATGAAACCAAAAGGATAACCGAGAATTCGTTACGTACAAAAATAAAGCTTTAATCAATAAATGACCACACGAGATCAATGAACAGTTCACAAAATATATTGAAACACACAGTTTTAGGTTTACAATATAATTAATCTTATCCAGCTGTCAAGCTATCCATCCGAGTCCAGCTATATCATAAGCATGTGCTTGTGAATCAATATCAAATAGTGATTTTCCTGTCCTATCGATGGCACCCGTCACAAATACATGCAAAGGCAAGGTAAGTGTTCACCTGAACAAAAAGGGGGACAAATAGGAATTGCATAACACTTGAAAGTCTTTTGAGCAAGATCAGTATTTCGCTCTCTGAAATCTCCAACTGTCTCTACGATATCTGCTGAATGGGCCAATCAGCTGTGTGTAATAGAGGAGACATTGTATAACTACTGTAAGGTTACACTGACCGTAGCACTCTTGGGCTATCTAACAACCAGACACGCTGATAGTGTACATGAGCGTGGTAGGCAGGTGTCTGATAACATCAGGCTCATCAGCGTAACGGAAATGTCGGTGTTCAGTTTATCTGATCTGCTAGCTGGACATATACGCCTGTGTCGTGTCTTGTTGATTCGTCATTTACGATTCGTTGAATTCATTGATTCAATGACGTAGGTCCCATGTAGCTAGTAGGGATTCTGTGACAAAAAGAAAGTCCTCAGACTCTTATGGTTTCCTCATTATGTCTCCAAGTGTGTTTCGCCAAAGTAATCGCGGAAGGACCGA